CAGGCCGGTAGTAGTGATGCCGCGGGCGGCGGCGGCTCCGAGGAAATGTCGGCGGCGGCGCCCATCCCGCCGCCCATTCGTCTGGGGCCGTACAACATGAGCCCCGGCGGACCATCTCTGCTGATCCAGGGAGCCCAAGCGGCGGCAGCGTGATGAGCTGACGTCCAGGGAACGGGCCACTGTACGGGCTGCTGCGTGGTCCAAGGTACGACATGAGCGTACGGCGCTGCATCCCACGAGCACAAGTCCTGTTTCTTTGGCAATATCCTTATCGTCTGCACACGGCCCAAACCAAACCCCCGCACACACACACACACACACACACACACACACACACACACACAACCATATACACACACACGCATACACACACACACACACAAACCCTTCCACCCCAGCAGGGCGCGCAGGTCCCCGGCGCGGTCTTCACCCAGTACGGCTGGGTACATGCTCGCCCTACCGGTATCCCTGACAACTCCCCCACACTACAGCTTGAAACGCTGCCTGATCCGCAGCTGCTGCCGGCCTTGGAGGCGTACGTCAGGTGGGTGAGATGGGGAGGGCGACGGCATGGGTGGGGGGTGGGCTGCAGCACATGGCAAGTTTCCGGTCATGTCTGTGCAGGGCAAGTCTGTCAAGTCTGTCAAGTCTGTCAAGGAATGTGGTGTCCTGGGTATATCACGGGATCCCGAGATCCGCCGATCGGTTCTTTTTCAGATTATTTTCGTAGTATAACAAATAATCCCCCGCCCCTGCTAATATCTCCTAAAACCCACGGGCAACAATCTATCCACCTAACCAACTAAACCAGCGCCTCTACCTACCTACCTACCTTCTGCTAAAGAAACGGTTTGACCCACATTGCGTAATCAACTGATGATGCCGTACCACGACAATGGTACGAGCGCTACCCGAGATCCCCTCCCTAACATTCTTCTCCTCCTTCCCCCCCCTTTTCGCCACCACCCCACACCCCACACGGCAACAGGAGACTGGGCATCCCACGCGACGGGTCCACGCCACAACAGCAACAGCAGCCACACCCCCACCCCCACCATCGACCTGCAGCCCGTGCGCATATGCAGCCCCTCATGCGCCGTACTGCTTCTCCGTACGATGGGCAGCAGAGGCCTGTCAGTCCCGGCCGCGGCGGCGGCGCCGCCGCCAGGTCCCCGCCGGGGCCCAACAGCGTCGCCGCGATCCTAGGGGCCACCTCCGCCGGGTTCTTCGTCACCCACGCGCCCATCGCGCCTCACCCGCCGTCGGCGCCTCCGGCGCGGCCGCCACGTGGAGGTGCCGCCGCCGCCGCCGCCGCTGCAGCCCGAGCACGAGGGGGATTTGAGGACGATCCGCCGCCGCCGCCGCCGGCACCGGCAGCAGCGACGAGGCCTTCCGGGCTATTTGCGTTCTCTCCTGGGAGCGGGGTTCCTGCGGTGGTGGGTCGGGCCCTGGGCTCCCCCGCGACTTCGCCCACTAATTCATCTCGATCGCTCTTATCGCAGATGAGGTCGGGCGGTGAAGGGCAGGGTCTAGCGGCGGCGGGGCCTGGCGGCGTCAGCAGCGGCGGGCGGTCGTTCTCGACGTCGCGGCGTGCCTTGTCCCCAACCGGACCTCAGGGAATGGGGGAGGAAGGGTCGACCGGAAGCGACGGCGGTGGCGGTGGCGGTGGCGGTGGCGGGGTTGTATTGGGAGTATCGGTGTCCATATCGCCGCGAGCCCACGGCGGAGGCCATGGCGGCGTGAGCTGGCGCGCGGGTGCTGCGAGCCGGAGATCGCCGTCTGGAGCAGCCGCAGCCGCCGCCGCCGGCGGCAGCGGCGGCGCCGCCATCTCTGAGGAGGCTGGCAGTAGCGGCGGTAGCCGCAGCCATGGGGACGCGGAGGGTGAAGATGGAGATGAAGCACAACAACATCACCAGCAGCAGCAGCAGCAGCAGCAGCAGCAGCAGGAGGTGGAGGGGGTGGAGGAGGAGGTGGCAGCCCCACCCGCCCTGAGCGGAGAGCCATTTCAGGCAGGTGGTGTCAAGACACAGTGGGACGAATCAATTTCCCGCCGCGTGATGGCGCGGGAAAAGCAATGCGACCACGGAAAACGACATCATCATGCCACCGCCCTCAACCCAACTCCTTTTGCACAGCACATACCCGCACCCACACGGCGATGCAGCACATCCCGGGGTACCCCGTAGCGCACTGCACTGCACGGCACGGCACGGCACGGCACGGCACGGCACGGCACGGCACGGCACGGCACGGTCCGTTGTGTGTGTGTGTGTCTCCCCCCGATCGCGGTTTCACCTCGCGGCCGGGGGGTGGTGGGAGAGGGAGGGGGGTATTCGCTTGGGGTCTATCTGGGGCCCTCACTACCGCAATGTAATACCGTAACACCACCGCGTGCTTCTACACGGGGCTTCCCCGCCGCCGCCGCCGCCGCCGCCCCTGACCCCCTCAGGCGCCAGTGACGACCACTGCGTTCCTCTTTCCGCTCTTGGCATTTTTGAGAGCTCTGACGCGAGGGGGAAACCCATTCGCTTAGTAATGCGTCTCGCAATCTGTTGGGGCCGTAGCCTCGTAACAGCTTTTTTGACGGTTGGTTGGTTGTTCGTTCGTGTTTTCCTCTCCGCCGCCCTGCTTGCCTTGACCGCAACCACAACGGCGGGGCGGCCTAGGAGTTCCCCCGCCCTCCCTCTTCTGGTGGCCGAATACACTCCGGCCGCCGCCTTGCTGTCGTCTTTGTGCGGTGGGGCGCTACTTCCGCTCCCTAACAACAACTGGTGCCTCTCTAACTGTCTAACTGTCTAACTGTCTAACTGCAGGTTGCGATGGCGGTGCTGCGGTCCAAGTCCATCAAACCAGGCGTGAGTGTTGTAGCTGCCGTGCCGTGCCGTGCTGTAGCTCCTACTGCGTTTTATAGCTACGGCTTTGCTGTGTGTGTGTGTTTTGCCATGGAGCGGTTGACATTCAGGGTATACATATCAATTCCCGTATTTTGCAACTGCCAACCTGAGATTTCTACGAACCAACAGACAACGGTAACTAACCAACCACCCCATTACGTTTCACGTGCTGTTTCCACAGGTGGCGGAGCGGGTCTTTCCGCAGGGACAGGCGCATATCAACGACCCGTCATCAAGTGTCGTACCGCCGTCGCCGACGCGGCGTGACGGCGATGATGCTGGTGAAGGCGCTGACGGCGCTGACGGCGCTGACGGCGGCGGGCCTGCGTCGAACCCCTTGGACAACATCAGCAGCAGCAGCAGTACGAGCAGCGATGAAGATGCCGACGGCTGGGCTACGGCGTCGGACGATTTTGACAGCTCAGATAAGGGAAGTGGTGCTACTGCAGCAGCAGCGGCGGCGGCGGCGGCGGCGGCGGAAGCAGATAAGGGAAGTCCAATTGACGACGCAGGCAACGGTTATCCCGACGAAGCGGGGGTGATGATGGCGGTGGGTCACGCACTCGCGACGACGTCTACGAGAGTGCATCCGCCGCAGCCGGCGGCGGCGGCGGCGGCTGGCGTTGCCGAAGGCTCCCAGCGGCGTCAACGTCCGTCGGCGGCCCAAGGTCCCCCTGGAGTGGCAACTGCCACTGCGGCGGCGGCGGCGGCGGCGACGACGGGGCCGTATGTACGTCGGCGGGTAGCGCCTCTGCCGCTGGTTATCCCCGAACCCAGGCCCAACGCGTTGCACGATGCCGCCACCACGGCGGCGGCGGCGGCGGCGGACGGACGAGGGCGACCGTTGGAGGACGAGGACGGCGAGCGGCAGTTTGACCTGCTGTACGACATGACGCGTTGGGCGGTCGCGCGCCCGTCGACGCCGATCAACTACAGGTGCATACTTTTGTACGACACGACCGTACCCGCCAAACTTTATGCTGTACAGACCTGTCCGGGTACTACCTTGCCATGAATTGCATAGGTCGCATCGTTGCCCGTCGTACCTTTTCCGGCTACCCGGTTACCCATACACAATATATAACCAAACTGAACAACGCAACAGTCGTACTATCTATCATCATCGCCTTCACGACCCGACTTTACTTAGGTGTCGTGAAAGGTGTACGACAAAGGGATCTCCCGCTGGCGCCTACTTGTTGTTGGGGTTTAGGGACGTCATTAATTTGCATCTCTCTGCACCTTGGTACGACATTGGCCATTTTTAGCTCTTGGTACGACTACCTCACACGTCGTACCCCTCTGGGGTTTTGCTTTTTAGTGTATCAAATATCATCAAGGGTCATGAAAGTGCGCAGCGACCTGAACCGTGGACCCCGGGTTTTGGGTGGGGGCAAGTACAGTCCACTCGTCCACTCGTCCACAGTAAATCCCAGATACCTGATCAGTACCTTTTAACAAAACTGGAGTGTCCAATATTGCTATTGCATGCCGTATTCCACAAGTGGAACAGTATACATTAACTATATACAATATAGAGATAATCTCAGGATGAAAAGAAAAATCATATCTTCCTCTTTTAGCTTAACTCCGGAGAAATACAACCCCCTGATCGCAATTAGCGGGGTTCGACTCGGATGTCAAATGTCAGATGTCAGTGCTGACGGCTAACTTCACTTCACGGCACCGACAGACATCGTTTGGATTTTTCTTTCGAATGAGTGCCGGGGGGCCTGACCTGCCTCCGCCCTGACGCCATGTGCAGGTTGGAGGACGAGCACGTGTCTGTCGTACTGCGCCGGAACAAGGAAGCGAGGCGGCGTGAGGCGGAGGCGGCGCACCAGGCGCGTCGCGCCCACCTGTTGATGATGTACGGCGGCGGCGGAGCGGTGTACGGCGGCAACGCGTACGAGAGGGTTATGTTCCGTCGCCGCCACGCGCGGGCCTTAGCAGCGCTGGCGGCTTCGCAGAGCCCGCTAGCAAAGCTCCTGCGCGCTTTGGCGTTTGACCGGGAGACCCTAGGAAAGGCTGTCGTACAGCAGCACGGCAGCGGCAGCGGCGGCGGCTCCACAGCACTCACTGCCTCCGGCGCCGCCTCATCCGCCGGTACGACATCAGGGGGTGGGATCCGCCAGCCTCGCCGCCGCGGCGGCGGCGGCGGCGGTTGGCGTCGCTTTCACCCTGCCGGTGCCGTACAAAGCAATCTGAGCGGCGGTATTAGCTGGATGCAGTCGCCCAGCGGCAGGACACAGCTGCGATTACGGCGTGGTGGCGGCTGTACGTCGGGCTTTGGAAACAGCTACTACTGGCGCCAACCTGTACGACTCGCCTCGCTCATGCACATTCGGCCTGCGGGCTGCCTGGATCGCGGGGCGGAAGCCGTCGAGGGCCATCACGGCGGCGTCGACGGCGGCCTCGGCGTCAGGGTCCAGAAGGCCGGTGGCGGACCGAACGTGGCGGACCCCTTGGCGGCGCTACAGCCGCTGCCGCCGCCGCCGCCTGAGGTAACGAAGATGGCAAGTACGGCACTCAAGCTGCTCGGTGAGCTCGGCTCTGAGATCGGGCGGATGGAGGAGGAGATTGAAGTGCTCCAGCGGCGAGCGGAGCGAGACGCCCGGCGGCAGCTGGAGGGCGGCGCCGCCGCGCCACTGCCGCCGTCTCCGCCGCTACCAGCCATGGCGGCGGCGGCGGCGGCGGTGCCACTGCAGCGGAGCCCGTCGGGTGCCCAGAACCGCACGCAGCTGCTCAGCCTCCACCAGCAGCATCACCACCTGCAAGCTCATCAGGCGGTACCGCAGCCGCCGCCGGCAGCGCAGCAGCGGCCGCAGTCGCGGAGCCGCGTATCCCCGCCGCCGCCCTCCCTGCAGCGGCTGACGTTGACCGCCTGGGAGCCGCCGACGGGTGTCCACGGCACCGCCGTACCGCGGATACCGCACCCTCAGCGGTCGGCGTCGCCGCCGCAGCTCCGAGCGCCGCCAGGCCGTCAGGACGCCACCGCTGCCAGCGGTCCCCGCCGGCCGGCGCTGGCGGGGGGCCCGATGCCCACCGGCTCGGCAGCAGCGGGCCGCGGCCAGATGAGTACGGCAGCTTGGCGGGGCGCACCAGCGCAGATGGGTCGGGTCGTGAGCCCGGAGCTTGGCGCCGTCGGTTGCGACGGCGGCGACGGCGGAGGCGGCTCTCCGACGGACGGCGACGGCAACGGCGACGGCGACGGCGGCCATTGCCACTCGGCGCCACTCTTGACCCGAAACCTACCGACATCGGCGCCGACGCAGCCGCTACTGCCACCAGCTGCATCCGGAACACTCAGCCCTACTCAGTACAAGTTGTCGTATATTGGATCCAGATCTGGATCCAGCTCGGGATCCATCTCAGTGGGACTGCAGAGTGCCGGGAACTCGGTTCCGCTGGATGCCGTACTGCCTCCGGGCCATTCGCTGGTGGCAGCGGCGCCGCCGGCGGGCTCCGACGGGGTTGTCGGTCGGCGACGAACACCAAGCCCGGCGTTGGTGCCCACACCCCACAACACACTGAGCGAGAACCAGGGATGGCCGTCCAGCCGCGGCAACTCGATGCCAGGAGTGGCGTTGGCGGCGTTGGACGGCGGCGGCGGCGTCCCCGCCGCCGCCGCTGCGGCGGCGGCGGCGGCACCCGCCTGGGCTTCACCGCGACGGTCCATCACGGGGTTAGAGCCCGGCGGCGCCGCTGGCGTCCCATCGGACGTGCCGTTCCCAAGATCGGCGGCGGCGGTGGCGAGCTTATCGCCGCCGTCACATGCGCATTTGGGTCACATGCGAGTGCATCCCTACCCGCGTAACAACTCGCCACCGACGATGCTACCGAACATTGCCGTAGGTAGTGCCGGCGGCGGCGCCGCTGCGGTCGTACCCGCACATCGACCGAGCTCCGACGGCAACCCGTACGGCGTCGGTGTGGCGGCGCGCGGGAGCATCGGCGGCTGGTTTTCAGCCGGCGCGGCGGCCGGTGCGGCCGCTTCGGCACAGGCGCCGCCGCCGTCAGCTCCTCGGCCGCGTCCGGGCTTTCCACCCGGTCAACCGGAGGTCCCTGCAGCGCCACCGCATTCACCGCCACGAGCAGCCGGGGGTAGCAGTACGACATCTGCGCTAAGTGCCGTACTGCCTGAAATTCCGCAAACGTCCTTGTCACCGCGAAATAATTCCACAGTGAGTATGCGCCGTCAGCTTTCGATCCGCGTGTGCATGTATGTATGTATGTATGTATGTATGTATGTATGTATGTATGTATGTATGTATGTATGTATGTATGTATGTATGTATGTATGTATGTATGTATGTATGTATGTATGTATGTATGTATGTATGTATGTATGTATGTATGTATAGCAGCGGTGGTTCAGCCGAGAGAGTTTTCCTTACACGTGTCTTCATGAGCCCCAAGATGTGTTTTGATAAGTGTACGGCATACACCCAGGCTGTGTTCCCTACACCATTTCCCGTGACACCCCGCGGCAACACCCTTTCCCCCCTCCCCCCCGGGTCAGACTGGGGCTTGGGTTTTGATTCGGGTTGTACTGATGCCGTACATGAAACTTCCGCGAACCCCGCCTCTCTATCTATCGGCGGCCGCCTTCTTCTCCCTTACCGCCAACATTGCTACCTGCCGTACGCAGGTTGGCACGCAGGGCGTACGGAGCTCCGTGTCGTACGACATCACCGTCGGGCCCGTGGGCGCCGTTGGCGGCCGTCCTTCGACGCCGTTGTTGGGTATATCGCGGTCCAGCGGATCGCCGCCGCACAGCCCTCTTCGGAGCTACCCCCGCATGGAGCTTGGTTTAGGAGCGGGCGGCTCGCCACTCCGCATGCGCCACGGCTCGTACACTGGCCCTGGCGTGCCGTATTACCAGCACTTGGCGGGTGGCGGCGTCGGCGCCGCCTCCGCCACTGCCGTAAGCCATCCATATACCTTGAATGACGCGGGTAATAGCGGGGGGCCGTCCGGCGTCAGCGTCGAGAGCCTCTTACTCAACGTTGCGCTTTTCGGTCCCGGTGGCCTTGGCGGCGGCGGCGGCGGCGGCAGTGGATTTGGAAACCGGGCGGCAGCGGCGCTGCGCGCGTCGGCGACAGCGCTGCCGCTGCTTTCCGGCAGCACCCGTCGTCCGCGCGCCTCTGATGCGTCCATGGCGATGCCGACGACAACGACGGCGGGGGCAACTCTGGCGGCTGCGTCCTCAGCACCGGCGGCGACGGCGGCGACGGAGGGCCCCGCCGGCGGCTCGTCGCGCTTTGGCCGTGTACGGAGGCTCAGCATGGGGCCATTGCCTGGCGGTCCCAGCGGCGGGGTCACCGCCTCCGCCGCGGCCATAATCTCGCCGTAGGTTAGCAGCAGTGGCGGTGCCGCACCACCACCCGCATATTACGCTAACACAGAGCCCGTTCAATACCCGCCATGTCTCGACTGTGTTCGACTTGAGGGCCTTATGGGGCTGTCGGGAGCCTCCTCGAAGCTGCTGCAGGAACTTGGAACATCAGCAGAAGCGCGACAAAGTAGGTGCCGTACATTCGCAACAACAGCCGTTGGTTTTTTTTCTTTATCCCCACCTCTTCCCCAGCGGCAGTAGCAGCACTATTTCATCAGCGATGTCAGTCCACGCTCGCGGCAGTAGCAGCTGCAGCTGCAATAGCTGCAGCTGCCATATAGCACGGCATCGGGTTGCGGGGATATGCGATACGAGCTCGATACATAGCCCATGAGCTGGTGCCCAATGGCCCAACGGCAAAACGGCGCTTTTTTATGCTGCCGACACCGTCATCATCCACCGCGCCGGCGCCGCCGACGGCCATTGCCGCCAAAAAAAACACGAACACAAACCAACATCGACTTGTGAGCACCCTCGGGTGAGATGTGAACCTGAAACTCGCCGCCGCAATCGGGGGCCGCCGCTGCAGTGGTACGACAGAGCCTACTCAGCACCACGAGAACGAAACGCAAGCACCGCGGCTGATGTGAGCGCCGCCTGGGGGCAGCTGGCTGAGACCCAGACACAGGGCCTGTCTGCTTTGCGGAGAGTGCGTTAAAGAAGAATTTCCTAGGAATCTAAGCTGGGAATAATAAAACGCCTCTTTTGGACTGGCCCCGGATGATTTCGTACGGTACGATAAAACTGGACGGCATACCAACTGTACATATGCGGCGCCACAAGTGGCCATGGATATGCAGCGGCATAAGTTATAAATTGTTAGAAACTGATATATATAGATTGTGTATAATGTGTATAATGTTGGTAAGTATAGGATCCAACATATATTGCAGTACAGAATGGTACGGCATAGGGATCGTCGTCCGGGCGGGGTTTAAGCCATGTCGCTGGCCGGTAGGGTCACAGCACGGCACAGCACGGCATATGCGCCAATTTCTTTTCCCCTGCCCATCGTCTCCATTTCTGGCCAACAATTACGGCACCTGCCAGCTGCGCCGTAGTCTTTATATCGTTTGTTTTTGTCCGTTGCCTGATTTGCTTGACTTGTAAGTCGGCTGAGGGAGATGTGGCGAGCGTGGGATGCAACGGCCGGCACGTCGCCGGTGTGTCAGATGCTGGGTATATGATGGCAGTGTGCTTGTGTACGCACGCTATGCATGGCGGGGGGGTGTATCGGGATGGTGATACGGGCGCAGGGGGGGGTCATATACATCATGATTCTCTTGAGGGCAGCTGCCGCCTTGATTTAAATCGTAGTTTGTTCTCTAGGTGTATGTGCCTTTTTGCATTTGGGGAAGGCTTCTGTATTATTGGTCAGACAATATTGCGCAGGTTCGTAGCCAACACACGGTGTCAATGATTAATGTGAGATTGTGCCGGCTGGGCCGACAGCCATCTGTCGATCCAGCCACTCTCCTTGGATAGTGATATAAGGTGGTAATGAAAGCCTGATGAAAGAAAAGGCGGTTTTTATAGCAGATTGGCATATGTACGCTAGCGCGATGTTGCACTTTTGGGGTTTGGAATACGAGTGGTCGCGTACTGCAGTGCGGCTCGCTGCAGCCACCTAAGGAAAAATGCCGCATACTGTATAAGTCTATGCTCTATGGAAACCAAAGCAACACGCAGCGTTACGTATATTTGCTGCTATTTGTGCTGCAGGACTCTGCCCTGTCACAGCACGTCTAGTCTGAGCGTTGTGTCCTTTTCCTAAACCTTCTTAAGCTCCCGGGGCCGGGGAGGGAAGGGTCCGTTGCACAGCTAGGCTGTGTATGCCATAGCGTGTGCTGCGGTGCATTATCTCGCCCCGCTGCATTACCTTGTTTGTGTGTATGTGTGTGTGTGTGTGTGTGTGTGTGTGTGTGTGTGTGTGTGTGTGTGGATTGTTTGGTAGGTATCGGGCTCGGATCTTTGGAGGAATATCTCCCCCGCGAACCCGTCCGGCCCCTGCCTGCGTCCAGAACATCCGCAGTAGCAGCAGCTCCTGCTGCTGCTGCTCCTCCTACTGCTGCAGCTCCTTCTCCTTCTACTGCTCCTGGGTCTTTTTAATTAAAGATGGTGCGCTACTACGCTCCCTACTGCATCAATCACCATTTGGTGGCAATTGCATCGCATGGGAGTGATTGATTCATACCATCATTAGCCGCAACCTTTAACGTCGTGTAAGACTTCTCTGCTGCCTGGCTTCCAAGATGTGACGCCACGCGGCCCATACAAAATGCGGCCCCCATCGCTGGTCGAGGCGAAGCTGCCAACCAGCTGGGGAACGAGAACACGGTCACGTATTATATCTTCCTCATCCCAATCCGCGCAACTTCAATCTCCTTGGATGGTGACGATGATGATGATGATGATGGTGCAGTGGAGAAGCACGAGTTGCAGAGCTTCCGAGCTCAGGGGTCAGCAGGCGGGTCAAGACGGGATCCGGCGGGATCCGGGATGTTGCCTCGCAGCGGAGTCGAGTGCAGGCCAGCACCAACCTGGTCAGGCCATAGAACCAGAGCCAGGCCCTGAAACCCAATTTGAAAAGTCAGGGACCAGAGCCCCGGGGCCTCAGGTCAACACGGACCTTAGACCTCAGAACTTCGGCATGGACAGTACATCACTGGTAAGCAACTGCGACCGCGCCTGCTACGTGACTGATGACTGGCCCTGAATACCGGGCGGGGATTACCGCACGGGTTACCGTTTCCAGAGGATTGTTGTTCCGAACGTAACAGTTGGAAGTGTTTCTCATCCCGCAGCTGACGCTTCTTCTCCTGAAAGGATGTCACCGTCCGCAACCCTGGTTCAGTCCTTATCTGGAAGCCATCCCGGGCCCCTCCACCCCCCCAACCCTCCAGCCGTCCCGGGCCAACCCCAGGCGCCACCCTTCCAGCTCTCCAAGCGTTCCAGGCTACGTATTGATTCTCTATTGCACCCTAAATTTCCTTTGGCCAAACAACAAACATGAACGACGTCAAAACATAACCATGGAAATGGAAACAAGGTCGCAGTCAAACCAGCGGCTCTAGCGCTAAATTACATTCCAATAGGTGCCGCATGCCTCATGGCGCGGTCGGCGCATGATATGTCGAAATCAAACTTGAGCGCCTAGGTTAAACGTCCATTTAGGGTATAAACGGTGCATGAATGTATATGCAACGGCCACTGCATGGCCTGTAAATGGTTGGAGAAACGGTCAGTGAACGTTCCATGAACATTCACAACATGCTGTAGGAGTTGGATGCCGGCTGAACTTAAATTTCTATTCAATAATTGATCCTATGTAATAAAATGAGGAAAACCAATACAATCCAGCAAGCCCAACATCCCTTGGCAATGCACGTTTTCAGCCCATTTCCATAAGCGTAAGAACGCCCGGAATCACTTCCTACGCCGTAGCTTGTCCCATACATTGTCTGAGACCCGAAAACCGCTGCATACAATTTCGGGGTGCCCGAAAAAGCTTTCAGGCTGACAGGGAAATCTTCGGGGACGGCCCCGATAGGTTATTCAGAGGGTTTCGCGCACGACCGAAACTTTTGGGTATCCTGGTGAAGAACCCTGATCGTCTCATGCCTATGCCAGGCATGCCGGGCAAAATGCCCGACCTTGCGGGGTTTGGGATGTTTAGGGGGGCCTTGGTGGTGCTGCTCAGCCACCGCAACTCATCGCCAGCAGCGTGGATGCAGCCAGGTGACAGGGCAGTCCCACACAGCAGACTGTCTCACAAACAGCCAAGTCTTCTTTGCCTAACAGCAAAAGACTGAAGAGGTCTGTGGTGCGTAGTCGGGTCAGCAAGTCGCGGGGGTGGATGGGGCCCCGCGCAGAGCAGGAAAACGTGCTTAGCTGGTGCCCAGTCTGCTGGCACTGACGGGGACGACATAAGCAGCCAGGGTGCTGCAAGGGACGGCAGCAGTAAGTCTCGCTGTTCTGTCAGGGAGCGCATCCGCCTGTTGGACAATGTTGCGTCCCGCTTGAAAACCTGCAGCCCTACCTCTACATCATTCGCCTTGCCAATGAATTAGAAGCCGACCTTCACTCATCCATCAAATTGGAACCCAACCTTTACTCATTCACATTATGATTCACACCTTAGACCTTTACTCAAAGCGTGAAAGCTTGTTGATTTTCATTCGCCACTGGCTTTGCGTTCGTCAGCCCTGCTTGGGTCGCGAACGACATCTGTCACTATTTAGTGGAATCACTTTGTACACTTCAAACCGATATCCAGACAGCGGAGGAAAGGCTTACTGTTATCGGAAAAAGCCAGCCTTCCAGTAATGCATCGTCGCGAAGGTTGATCAACCAACTGGGACACAGCGGCAACACCGTAGGCCGTACCCTGCTGTTGGAAACTTGGAATAGCAACCGGTTACATCGTTAGTATGTTTTCTTTCGATTGTCCTCGCTACTATTTTCTGTGTCCATCGACTTGAGCCATTCCTGCAGCAACGGTGCGCCAGCGGCCGCCGAACTGATTTGGACGCTGTTAGTCCTGACTCAGGCCGCGTAGAGGTGGACACAACAGGATGGTGGAACACACAGGAAGCACGTCACTCTTTGCAATTTTTGCATTGAGCTTGTATTCTCTGTTTCTCTTTCCTTACACGATCTACCGCCTCACTTGTGGTGCTTCGGAGGAGACGGTGGTGCAACCCTACTTACAGGTTTGTTTACATGTTTCACAGTATTCCTGTGTTCCTAGTCTTCCGTAGCGGTTGGCTCCAACAGGTGCAACAACCTGCGTTACAGGGCAAGCAAAAACAGGGCTCCGCCAATCGTGTCCTTCGCAAGGTCTTTAGCAAAAGTAAGTATGGGCAGAAATTTTGGGAAAAACGGCACTATGGTCTGGGGCAAGGCATCTGAAGCAACGGATCAGGAGGGAGGAACTGACTGACGTTTATACAGCATGCGACTCGCTGGCAGATCGAGTCATGCCTCTGCCAAGGGCATGACTGCAAGGGCAGCACGTTGTTGCGGATGGCAGCGAGGGGCAAGCCGTACATGTATACACAGCGCTCCCCTGTTGCGTAACCAAGCTCCTTTTCGCTCCTCTATCAGCCCCTTGCAAAGCGGCAACTGAAGGCTGCCGTCCTTACCTCAACCACAACCTCTTGCAGGTAACCTGATCCTCATAGCGCTATGGCTGCTGTGGGGCGTGCTACTTTGGTACGTCAACATTACGTCGAAGGTAAGCACGGCGCTGACTTCATCAGAGGTCCTTGATGTATATATAGAAACAGGTTTTTCCTGGCGATTGCACTTCCACTCATGTGGGTCAGCGGACGCGGAGCCGAGGACTCGGGGAGCCCTGGGGGCTTCGTCAAGATGGGCATGAGGGAGGGACAGGCTTGAATGGGAGCTGGCTCCCGTACAGTGGTGGCACAGGATAGTGGGGTCCACTGTCGCATGTTGACAGCCTACAGATCACATTGGGAAGGGGTTGAATTCAACTGGATGGAAGGGCGTCTAGCTGTTTTTGGGGTACATGCGGCGCATGAAAAGGTGAAGGCGCATGTGGAGGGCGGCACACCCGTCAGCAGCGGCAGCAGCAGTCCGCGCGGTGGACTCGGGGGATTTGGGTCATGGGTCCGCCCACTGGGGGGCTGACAGGCGGATGACTGTCTGACTGGGTTTAGCAACACGGATGGCCCCCGCCGAGGTTCGGAGAGAGGAGAGTTGCCATTACGTACCAGCCACAGTTGGACGTGTGGCAGTGCGCGTGAGGCGGGAGGAGGGACAGCTGTGGTTTTAAGGAAGCTTCTGGTACAGCCAGCCGGGCATACTGGCCACGAACGGTGCCCAGCAGGGAGCTGCCTGCTGCCGTTGGTGGAGGCAGTGCATCGGCCTAGGATGGGTGCAGAAAGCGGTGCATGAGGAGCGCACACAGCGCGGTCATCCGGCGTGTCTTGCGCTACTAGCCGCGCCACCGGCGAAGCAGGCCAGTTCATGCGTGCTCATTGCCCGCACAAATCTCAACACGGCGTAAGGGGCCATGGGCCCCGCCTGCCCAGCCAGCCACCGCTGCAGGATGAACCCTGGACTGCCCGCACCGTCTACCGCCGTCCAAGGCTGCTAGACCGAACTGTCCTGCCCATCCACGTGGGGTCTTTTGTCCTTGTCTCGGCGTTGGCGATTTTGCCGCCATGAGAACTCGGAGACGTTTTGCCGCATGCGCCTTCGTCTCCCCTTTCTTCTGCCGCCACGGCTTCCCTACGTTTGTGCCGCATGTACGCACCTGCGCATGTAGGCACCTGCGCATGCTTTGTTGCGCGTCACCCACACCCTCACATGTCCTCCTCGTCCGTGATGCTCGCAACCCCAGTCAGCTCAGGCATTTGCATTCCTGACTTGCTTCTGCGCCCAGTCGTCGTCCTGGCGGTGCAATTTTTGCAATTGTTTTTTGCTGTGCTTCTTTTGGCGCCCGACCAACAGGACTTGAAACCTTTCGACCCATTTGAGATTCTGGGTGTGGAGCGGGGAGCCTCCACAGCGGAGATCAAGAAGGCGTATCGTCAAATGTCGCTGCAGTATCACCCCGATAAGGTGCGCGGCTTGCGGCGTGTGCAGCCGTTGGGGCCCCTGCTGAGTGCGCGTTTCTGTCAGTCATCAGATGTGACGGTCTGGTCCATGGTTGTCATGGTCGTCATCTGCAAGAATGGCATTGGCAATTGTTGTTAGGCCGCCGTGGTGGTTTGATCTGGGATGCGGGTGTGGCTGTGGTTCGGACGTAAAGGATTTAATTGTTATGGAGCCTGGCTTGGGGTCCCGATAGGTAGGTAGATAGGTAGGTGGGTAGGTAGGATGCCTGTCCGATATCTTTGTTTGAACACCTGAACTGGGATTGTGTGGGTGTTCATGTCTCGGTGGATAGTGGCGGGCAGAGAGGGACTGCGTTCCTAAGGGTGGGTGGGAAGGGAGGGGAAAGGTGGATAGATATAAGGGGTGGACTAACAATGGCTTTAATAGGTTGGGAACTCGTTGAAGGGGGTGGACATTGCTCACCTCCCGATTCCAACGCTCCTGTTTAACACGCGTTTCCGAGAGCTGGTGCTCACCTTGAGAACCAGAGGTGAGATCCAAACACCCCTCGTTGGCCATTTTGCTGCCAGCCCTCCATGATGATGGCGGCAACAATGATGACCTCATCAATCTTCTCGTTAGCCTGATGATGGCGATAATGATGGTGATGATGATGATGGTGATGTTGGTTGTCTCCGCCACTCTTACCGTCCCTCCCACCTCTTTCCGTCTCGTTCTCCTCTTCCTGCTCGTCATATGTTGGCTTGCAGAACCCTGACCCCAAGGCTCACGCCTACTTCGCCGAGTACATCACCAAGGCCTACCAGGCGCTGACTGACGAGGTCTCCCGGAAAAACTACGAGGTGCACGGACACCCGGATGGCCCGCAGGTACGACGTGCGATGTGGGGAGGAGGGGCATCGACTGCAGTCTGGGGAAATAATTGCTCGTAAGCGCTCTCTAGAGCACATGTAGGTGGGGCAGTGGGGGCCAAATACATTCCAGTCGGCGCGCTGGTTTTCTCCTGGGCTCGGCCGCACGGACCTTAGGACAGGACTACAATGGCACCCCCCAGGGGCTTCACTAAGAAACATCCTTCCGCCCTCTGTGATCCCACCAGTTGATCACCCGGCCGCCGCCGGCCTCATCTTTGTGTCTTGTGGCTTCTTGCCTTTGTGGCGCGTGTCCACAGGGGCTGGGGTCCACAGGGGCTGGGGTCCACAGGGCTTTGCTGAACTCGGCGTGTAGTCCACAGCGCGTTGCCCATATCCGCGATCCCTCGTCTGTTTTGGTCATGTTCGATTGCTCGGATCATGTTGGGTGTCAAGGGAGTCCTGCGGCGGTTCCTCCAAAGCCCCTGTTCCCCCGCCAGCGTTCCCCTCTGTATGCATGCAGCCCCCCCTCCAGCTTCGAACTAACTCCTTCTTGCATGCCGCCTTGATATCATCTTGATATCATCTTGATGTCTTCCCCCTTGCTCCAGGCCATGAATGTGGGTGTCGCGCTGCCCACCTGGCTGTTCACCAAGGACAGCAAGGTGGCCCCCCTGATGCTGCTGGGTCTGGTGGGGTTCGGCATCTTGCTGCCGCTGGGGGTGGTGTCCTGGTACATGCTCAACAGCAACCGCTACTCGGGCCCTAACGGAGTTATGCAGGAGACGCTGTCGTTCTACTACGCATCCAAGTACAGCGTCAAGGAGGCGCAGGTAGGGGTTGGGACGGGAGGTGGGAGGTGGGCCCGGAGGTGGGCCCGGAGAGGGGAGGTGAACCACAGACTGGAGGGATGCTGATACCAAAGATAAATAATAACAGGTACTCCAGGAATAAACAGATAGTGCAGAAAATTGGAGAAAGTTACCAACCAGTAGTGACTTGGGAAGTAGTCATGGACCGTGCGTGTGTGTGTGGGGGGGGGAAGGATGAGTTGGAGAGTTGCGGTCCCCACTGGGGGCTGTGGTCCCCACTGGGTGGTTGTGGTGGTGACTCCAGGTTCCTTGTGGGACTGGCGGCTGGTGGGCATGAGAGTGTGTGTGTGTGTATGTGTAGGGGGGAAGTCATTATGAGGTCCGCGGTGGCGGTGGCGGTGATGGTGGGGTGTGTGGGGGTGAAGGCAGGGTTTTTCTTTTGTGTTGGGCCATCCACTGCTTTGATTGCGGCGCGGCAATCCGCAGTCGTCTTGGTGTCATCGCACTGCAGCTCCGTTAGTTGGTCGGTTTACACGAGGAGGTCGGTAGCTAGGTAGGCTTCACGAGGAGGTTGTTATCATCCAGTCGCTTGAACACACACACACACACACATACGCTCTCTCTCTCTCTCTCAGATGCACAATTCGTTGTCGAGTCTCCCTAACTAGTCGGTCACGTGTCCCTTCCCCTACCCTCACCACCCGGCACAGCTCCTCTTATTCGTGCAAAACACATGCCAGAGTTACCACGCCTCCTAATCCCCCGTGCGCTTCACCCTTCTCGCCCACGTGGACATGCAACACCACACCCTACCCCTACCCCTACCACACCCGGTGCAGTCTCTGGTCCGCATTCCGGAGACGCTGGTGTGCGCCATGGAGTTCATCACACTGCCCACCCCTAGCGAGCAGACCGCGGGGCTGGAGGAGCTCCGAAAGCTGGTGCTGCGAAACAACCCGGACCTCAAGGATAAGAACACGTTTTGGAAGCGGAAGGCGTCGGTGCTCAAGGTTGGGCTGAGGGGACGTCGTTCCGATGCCCTCGGGGACGGACCATTCCGCCTGCCGCCTTTAACTTTAACTAAACTTCCTTTTCCTGGGGCTACAGCCTTTGGTGGTCCGGACTCGGTTGCTGTCGTTTCCTTAACTTGTTGGTTGGTTACCCACGTAACTTCCTTGGAGCCATGTAGTCTCTTGTCCGTAGGCTCTTTCATCTTGCGACATTTCCCCAGCTAGGTCACCTAGCTTATTTTGAACTTTTACGTGACCTGCGTCTTGTTCGTGTTAACCCCCCGCCTCTCGATCCGCATGGACTTTGCCCCCTTTTCAGGCTCACATGTTGTTGCTGGCGCATCTGGACAGGGAGCACGATAGCATACCGCCATCACTGCAGGTGGGAGGGAGGGAGGGGGGGAGGGGGATGTGGGCCCGTCTTGGGGCCGTCCGCGTGGACGGTAGCGTGGCGCCGTTAAGGCATACTTCAGGGCTTTCCTGCACACGCGGTGATCCGTCGGCCGGCCGGCCGCCCGCCCGGCCCCACAGAAAGCACGCCTAGCACCAAACGCGCAAAACCCATCCACCCACCCTGGGCGTGTCTTATTCTCCCGCTCCCGACCGCCAGGCTGATCTTCGCTTCGTGCTCACTAAGTCCCCTCTGCTGCTGGATGAGATGATCAAGATTGCCATCATGCCGCGACCACCGGCAGGGTACGGCTGGATGGTAAGATCACCTGAATAATGGGGTTGCAACTAGTTGTGTTTTTGGGAGCTGAAGTAATATCTAATATCGCCACCGGAGAAAGGGGATGGGCTGCGACACCACATGTCGCGTAGTTTCAAATTACCCTACGCACACACAGGGGTTGCCGCCGTGGTGGCAGTGGTGGCCATGTATGCGTGTCGCCATGTGTGTATATATTGGTACAGTTCATTGTTTGCGATGCATGCCACGGACGCTACCCCTTCTATGCTTCCCCCACCACAGTCTGCCAGTATGTATGTATGTCAGTCTCTCGCTTCTCCTGATCCCCTCGTGTCGCTTCTGTCTGTTCTGCCCTCCCTTGCCCCCCGTATCTGTGTGTGTATGTGCATCTGCTCTCTGTCCAGACCCCCACGGTGGCTATTGTGGAGATGATGCAGTGTGTCTCCCAGGCGCTGTCCGTGTCAGCACGCAAGCCCGCAGGGGGGGCCAGTGCCAAGGCGTCTGCCAATGCGGACGGCATGGCGGCGCTGCTGCAGCTGCCGCACTTCAATCTGGATGTGCTCAAGAAGCTCAAGAAGCGGCGTGTGCAGAACATCAAGGGTGGGTGGGTGGGTGGCTGCCTGGCTGGGTGCCAACCGGGTGGGGGATGGGTTGGGGAGAGGCGGTGAGGCGGGTCTAGGTCGACCTGTGTGCCCTCCCGAACGCAAGGGAGCTAGTGGGCCTTCACAACATACGCACTATTGCACCCAAAACACGCACTGTTCGCTGTTCGCAGTTCCAATCGTTCGCAGTTCTTACTCCCGGGCCCCTTTTCGAATACCCGCAGACCTGCAGGATCTGCCAGCTGTTGAGCTGCATGAGGCGCTTTGCAGCGCGGGGCTGGGTGCTGCCATGGCGGAGGAGGTGGCCACGTTCCTGGCCACCCTGCCGTCCGTGTACTGCAGAGCGGAGTGCGAGGTGGGTGAGGCTGTGCGGGTGGCCGCTCGCCTTTACACCACCCTCCACGCACACCAAGAATCTCATAGGTCATAGCGGCCAGCTTGTCGCCATGCTTTGGCCCCATCTCGGTCATCATCCTTTCGCCCATCTCCCGCTCGCCGCCCGACCTCGGCCCCGGGCCCCCCCCCCCAGGTAACCGGTGAGGACGAGATCATGGAGGGTGACGTGGTCAAGTGCCGGCTGCAGCTGCTGGTGACTCGCCCCTCCCACAACACCCCGGGCTTCGAGCAGCAGGCGCCAACACGCGGCTCCTCCAAGGCCATCCGGGCCTTCACACCCAACAACCCGATACCCAAGGACGAGAACTGGTGCGCATGCGTATGTGCCTGTGTGTGTGTATGTATGTGTCTGTGTGGGTTTGTAGGGGGCGATTGGTGGGGGGGTTAGAGGATGAAGAAGACCCCCAGAGCTACAAGAGAGCTAAGGGATTTGGGGGCGGGTATGTGCAAGAGTGCGAATATCCGTGAAGTTGTAGGTGAAGTTGTATATCCATGACGTAAAAGGATAGCGGAAGGGGAGTGAGGGAAATGGGGAGCGGTAGGCGGTTTTGTTCGGGTTGGGGTTGTGCAAAAGTGGAGAGGGGGAGAGGGGGGGAAGGACATAGCCGCGGATTTCCAACTCCTTGCACATCCTGACCTCCTTCAATAATTGTTCGGGGATCAGCGTCTGTGCCGCTCATCTGCCGCATTTACCGTGTGTGATGATATGTGGTTTGCTGTGGTCTGTTGGCGCTGTTGGTGTGGTGTGGTGTGATGGTTCCGTTGCGTCGTGTCGTGTGTCAGGCACTTGCTGCTGGTGGACCCGAGCGGTAACGCGGTGTTGTCCTGGAACAAGGTGTCCCTGGCGGAGGCGGAGGCGGTGGGGTTCAACCGCCCGGAGCTGGTGGAGGAGTGGGAGCGACAGGGCGACGCGGCGGCGGGTGGAGACAAGAAGGTAAGTTGGCATAGCGATGGTGACGGCGGCGGCGAGAAACAGCACGGCGGGTGGCTTGCAGGCGAGGAGGCGACATCAGCGACGGCGTGGTTGCGGAAATACCTTCTTTTGCTTGTCGGGGGGGTGGGGGTGGGGGCGGAAGTGAAAGGGAATAGGGGAGCAGGAGGGTCGGACTCCTGCTATCGAGTCCTAACTTCAGGCAGCAGCTACAAGTTACAACAGGCCTAGACGGCTACATGAGCTTCATGGCGCGGCCCGGTAGCCCCCCTTTCCGGGCCCCTTTGCACTGCGTGTCTGGTGTGCCGGAGCCGCCTTTAGTCGTGCAGCAGCCTTTTAGCCTTTTGATAGTCGTCCTCCGCGGCGGATGTCGCAGCGGTTGGAGCGGATGGCCCGTCCTGTAGGCTTCCGTCGTGCAACCTATATCAGCACCGTGAATCTCAAAAAAAACACTCATACACACACACATACACACACACACCCATCCCGTGTAGCATTGCGGAAGTGGAAGCTGGTGTTTAACACCTCCGCCCACCGCCCAGTTGGCTGCATGGCCCGCCCTCCGGTACTTGTGCTTCGTGGCAGGGGTTGGGAAGAGAACATGTGTGCTTCCCTCACCCCATGATGCACTCCTGACGCACCTTACCCTGATGCGCCTTACTGACCTCCGTGTAAGATTAAGAAAACCGCTGCCCTCGTGGGCGGCCCACCACCACCACCCAAGTGGTTCGTCTTACCCCTACCACACACCGCCTCTTGGGCCGGGCCTCCTCCCCCTCTGTACACACACACATACACACACACACCAGGACGCGGCCGACCGCGCCCGCTCCCGTGCACTCGCTACCGCCGACAAGTTCATCTCCCGCTACGCCAACGGCGCCCGGCCGGGGCCCGCCACCCGCGGGGCAGTGAAAGGCGCCTTGACAGCCGACGGGGAGGCTGGCGGTGGTGCGGACGCGGAGGCAGAGTCGGGTCAGGTGGTGGAGCTGCTGTTCCATGCGCCGCGGTAAGGGTGGCCTGCTGGGGGCCGTGAGGAAAGGCATTGCGCACTGAGGGGCTTAGGGCGGTGTAGTAACCGCGGTGTGATGCGCTTTGCCGGGGGGGGGGGGAAAGGGAGCGGGGAGCCTTCATGGCGTGTTTCCGTTGTTTCCTGAGTCCTAAGTCCTAAGTCCTTGGAACCAAGCCGCGCCATTCTGTTGGGACTCCGAGTGAAAGTGGGCAGGAGGAAGGATTGAGCGGTCGGCGGTTGCAAGTTTGGGGGAGGGGGGGAAGAAAACGAGCCGAGGGGAAATTGAGAGGGTTACGAAGCAGCAGAGCGCATATGGGGGGGGGGTTGGCCCGCATTTGCCCCTGCAGGGAAACGGGCCCCCTATCGGTCCCTGTGGGTACTGGAGGGAAGACATATCTTGAAGAGGAGGGGAGGGGAGGGGAGGGAAGGGAAGAGGAGAACGAGATGCAAGGTGGCCGGAACCTTTCCTTGTTCCCTGTGACTTGCTCTTTCCAACACATACTTTGTGCGGCAGCATCCCAACGCACCTGTTGTTGCTGTTGCTGCTGCTATTGCTGCTGTGGAGGGATGACGGGCTGCGCTTGGCTACCTGCCAACCCTGTCCCCACGAAACCCACTACCGCCCTCCCCGCGCCTGACTGACTCCCACACCGCAGTGCCGGCAAACACGAGCTGCAGCTGCTGATCATGTCGGACAGCTATGTGGGCAGCGACCGCGTTATCCCGCTGAGGGTACGGGTGCTGCCGCTCACCCGGGCGGTGCAGGTGGGGCCGGAGGGGGGAGTGGGCGGAATGGGGTCAGCGGGCGGGAGGGAGGGAGGGGAGGAAAGGGAGGGAGGGAGGGACGCTTCCACGGATGTGGCCTACATGCGAACGGCCGCCATGTAGAGAGACGTAGGACCGCATGGGCGAGATTGCCGCGAAGGGTGAATGGCTGAATGGCGATTTGGGCTCTTGCTTTGCCGCATATCGGGTGGGGAGTGGGGATGTGGGGGGGTGCAGCGGCTTAGAGCCGCGGCGAACAGAGCTGCAGGGAGTGGCGGTATTTGGGACTCGAGCCGGAAGGCGGTTGGAGGGGGTTCATGCGGGCTGGAGGGGGTGAAGGGGGGGATTGGGAACTGAGGAGGGAATGAGGAGGTTGTTGGAGGGGTTTGTGGCCCTGGGGCGGACTGGGCGGACTCTCCTTCCCCGTTAACGTCGGGTGAGCCGTTGAGCCCCCGTTGGCGTGGCTTGGCGCCATCCAGCTGTTGCTCCTGGAACGGTGGTGACAGCAGCAGCAGCGGCGGCGGCGGCGGGAGCGGTGAGGGGCGGCGGCTGCTACCGCCGCATATGCCACATCTGCCGCCGTTGCTGGTACACCTGTTCTCGGAGGGCGGGTGCAGTCAGCCAACCTTTGGTGCCGTTGCCGCGGCAAGGGAATAGCCCAGGTGTTATCCTGAGAGCGCAGATTTGGTTGTCCCGGATATGATAGGCGGGAGTGTTGTGGCGGGGGAGGGGGGGGCCTAAATTAGCTGTGCGTGATTTCGCGAGATTCCCAATTTGCGCTATGGTGGTTACGGCGCCCGTTTTGGCGGTTTGTGTCCCCCCCGTGTGCGCACAGGAGGGACGCGACGCCAAGAGCCAGGCCAAGGCCAAGGAGTGGGCCAACAGCAGCGACGAGGAGGACGGCGGCGAGGAGGGCGGTGAGCGGGGGGATGGAGGATGGGGGTGGGGGTCCTGGGGGGTAAAGTATGTGTTCGTGTTTGCGTGTTTGCGTGAGAGTGTGTGTATGTGTGTGCCTGTGTGTGGTGGAAAAGGTGAAGGACAGGCAGCGTGGGAGATCTCTTGGGGCAGCGCCAGCAGCCGGGCTCTACTGCAGCAGCAACCTCATGGCTGCTTGGGGCTCGTTGTTCGGTAAGAATAGAATAGGAGTGTCGAGTTGGAGCGATGCAGGTGCAGCGTCCAACCCGTTGAAACGAGATTCCCCCGTGGCTCCCTTAAATAGAGAGGAGAGGCCGTGAGGAGGAGCCCGTAGTCCGCCCTGGCCTGAAGTAGCCTTTCTTTTTTCAGTTCGTGTGCTGTGTGCTGCCACCACCACCTCACGCCGAATTCGTCCCTCGCTCCCGTAATGCCGGTTCCCTGACCCTCCGCTACGAACACCACCCACCGTTCCTACCTCGACCACATCCACCACCACCACCACCACCACCGTTACAGAGGGCCGGCGCCGCCGCAAGGGCGCTGCGGCCGCTGGCGGCGATGGCGCCAGCGACGCGGGCAGCGCCGCCGGTGATGGCGAAAGTGACGATGGCGATGAGGACATCAACAGCGATGACTACGACAGCGAGGAGACGGGTGCGTGAGCGGGGGGGGGGGGGGCAGGGGGCCCGGACTGATATTGCAGAACTGTGTGGCGATGTCCGCTATGTCACCCCTTCATCCCGGGGTGGCTTTTTTCCTTTATCATCCCTGCATCCGTGCGCTGCGGCGGCGGTAGTACACGCGACGAGCGGTGGGCCTCAAATCGGGGGGGATTCAGTGGGGCCGAACACACATCCACTGAGGTACAACACACTACTGGAACCTTCATTTGCCGTACTGTCGTGTACTGTACGGCAACACGCAGGTGAGCTGGAGAGTGGGCCCGAGGACGAGGACGACGAGGAGGGGGTTGACGACACCGTCCAAGGCGGCAAGGCTCTGCCAGCCTCTACGGGCGGCGAGGGGGGCAGCAGTCAGTTGACTGGCCGGGGGCCGGGGGGTAAGGCCGAGAGCGACGATGACGAGGACGAGTAAGAACCCAACGCGAGCCTTCAACTTTGCCCGCCCTCCCCTGTCCCGCGTTGCTTTGCGAGTGGAGCCCTGTCCGTGTGTACCCTCTCCCCGACCGCATGCCCCTGGGAGTGGGCGGGAAAGAGCGAAGTGTACCTATCGGAGGGAAGGGGTGTCCGACCTGGACCAGTGGGTGGGGGGCTGGGAGGCTCGACTCACGAAGGGGGTGTGTTTACACGGGTTACAACCAGCCGTGAAGTCCGTCCGAGGGGGGTTGAGTCGAGTGGGGATAACTGAGGGAAGAACCGAACGGGGCCCACCACTGCAGCGTCCGCGGCTGCTTGCTTGGATGGCGGCTTTTCGAGATTGATTATTCGATACTCTCCGACGGAGTCATTACCGGGTCTGATTACCGGTCGTTTGTCGGTATGTGCGCATGTGTGTATCTGTGTTATGTATGTGTGCTGTTTGCGCTTTTGCTGTTTTGGCTCGGTGCATTGGTCCTGGTCCTGAACGAGGTGAAGGAAGACCTAAAGATCGCGGAGGGGCCCGGTGTGCTTCTTCTGGTACTCTAGAAAATTCCTGTGGAGTGAACGGATGTGTAGGTGGGCCGTGTAGGTGCTGTCGTGTTGTGTCGTGTTGTGACGTGTCGTGTCGTGTTACATCGCATTCGATGGGACCTTGCTCTGGGCGTGGGCAGCTGCCCTCCCGGCCACACCGGAAAGGCCGCCCGAAATGCACATCCCCTAGGGCGAGGGGGGTTGCATGTGTGTGTATGTGTGTACAGAGTGACCCTGGCGACGCGCGGCGCAGTGATTCCCTTGCTGGTTAGTAACGCATGGTGGGTGTTGTACAGTACAGTACGGTACGATACAAAACTATGGAACGAATTTGACGGGGGGTGAGTGGGGTTATCGGGGGTTAGGAGGATGAAAGGTGGCGGCGGGAGGGACATTTCTTTTGAGGATGTGCGTAGAGGGCAGCTGTTGGCGGTGGGGGTTGTCTTGGTCTGCAAGGGGGGAAGAGAAGATACAAGGCCTTATGGGGCGTCGTCGCGCAGCTCAGCCATGGAAGGCGCTGGGCGCGTTTTCGGACGTCTAATAGTGTGTCCGTGTGAGTGGGGGTTATGTGCGGGCAGGAAGGGTGTAACGATTGAGTGCGCGGCCACCTGGGGGGGCGATGGTCTTGGATGTGGCCGTGGAGTTCCAAAGTGACGGAAAGATGGCCGTGGATGTTTTCGCGGCATCGGGGCTCTGGCGAAGAGAAGTAGGGTTGGGCTCTTGCTCAGGTGGCTGGGTTGGGCTCTTGAGAGGCGTGTGAAGGCGCAGAAAAGGCAAATTAAGTGATCGCCAAGAGGCAGAACGTGTGTTTTAACGTTTGGCCAGAGAGGTCGTGGCGGTCAGGCTTGGCTTGGTTTGCTGCAAGCACCCTGCCCCGGAGCGTTGAGTGACAAAAGTACCGTTTGCGGCAATCGCATCGAAAAGATATTGTGGCATTAGAACGTACGGCGATAATTTTACGTGGCTGATCAATCAATCGTGCACAGCAGCAAAGAATGGAACATGCTAGGAAAGGTGAAGTCAGGAAGTCGGCATTTGGTCTGCAGATAAGCCTTAATGCGAGGAGGTAATGCAGCGGCTATAGTCCAAACTAATAAGGGCGTCTTTGGTCTTTAAACTTTAAAACTCCTGAGCCGTCAGGAGAGGGAAGGAAGATGCAGAATCGCAGCTTCGGCGGTGGTGGCCTTGGTGGCGCGGCCTCAGCAGGTGAGGAGGCCCTGGTGCGAGGAGTCTTTTGCGGTGGCTAACATCTGGCGGCCCTTCAGAAGCACGTTCCGTTGTAGCAGGATCTTCGCGGTATTTATCGTGATATGCGCGGAGAACGAAACAGTCTTGTTCGAAGAGGGGGAAAACGACTCGGGACCCTTGGGTCAAACGTAACTCAGCGCCTGCTTTAATTTTAAATTTTAAAAATACAGGCTTCAATATAAACATTTATTGGCATGCACACCACGAGGAAGACTCTCAAGAAAGGACCTCGCGTGTGTTTCTTTCCGGCAAGCCAGGCAAAGTAGTCACCTGTCACCTCTCTTTTACGTCCTCTACTTTGCCGTCTGCTCTTTCCCAGCTGCGACACCAGCACTAACCTCTAGCACATAAAAAGCGACCCGAAATTCGTACGGCATTTGCGCTTTCTCCAGTTGGCGGTCCAGTTTGCTCCACCACCCGCGTCCACTTGGGCCCAACCAGCCACTGCGCACATCCACACCCCGCTCGAGGTCACCAGCATGCCCAGCTGTCGCTCCATCAGCCATGTCCCACCTTGGCCTCCCGCAGACAACTACTACCGCCTTCTCGAGCACTACGGCAACCTGATAGCCGGACAGGAGTCCCAGTTGGCGAAATTGCGGCAGCAGCGGCAGGCGCTTGCGGCCGCGGCGGAGGGCGCTCGACAGCAGCGGGACGCGGAAGCCGAGCTGGCGGCTGCGGCGCGCGCACGTGCAGCAGCACTTCAGGTCCGCGCCCGCCCGCGTGTGTGTTTTTGCGTGTGTCGGGGGGGAAGAGAGGAGAGGGGAATGGGGAGTGGTTCGGTGTGGGGAATCTTGATAGCTAGCTGGTGGCTAGACACCAAGCACATCTCACATTGTGTTTATCTGTCTGCATGTATGTCTGTCAGTTAAGTAGAAGGAAGGCTGGCGGTGCGAGGGTACCGCGAGTGGTCCCGTTGGTCCCGTTGGCCACTGAAGCAGTCAATCGGGTTGACACCTCCGCCACCGCCGCCGCCACCGGCCCCCCTCTATCACAGGCCGAGAGGGGAACTAAGCAGGCCGAGCTCAACGCGATTCAGGCAAGGTTGTGGTGATGGTGATGGTGATGGTGATGGTGATGGTGATGGTGATGGTGATGGTGATGGTGATGGTGATGGTGATGGTGATGGTGATGGTGATGGTGATGGTGATGGTGATGGTGATGGTGATGGTGATGGTGATGGTGATGGTGATGGTGATAGGGCTGGAGATCGAGCTGAGTAAATGTGACACGACGCCTGGAAAGGCTCGTCCTACGAGACGACCATGAACTTGTGCCTTACCAACCGGATGAGTAACGAAACCCAACCTACCCCTCTTAAGCCGTCACCCGCCTATCAAGCATGCCGTGCCCCAAAAGTGCCGTGCCACAATCATTGGACCAGAATACCTCAGGCAGCCGATGCCCTGTTCCCCGACACTTGCCGTTTTGGCTGAGTAGGAGTTGTACGGCGCACCTTTCTGTGCAGGAACGTAACGACTCGATGCGGTCCGAGATCCAGTCGCTCCGGAACCAGCTGGAGGCCCTGCGGGAGACGCAGTACGTCAACAAGGAGGCTTTCGTGGAACGGTACGGCAACTGGGGAGGTTCGGGGCTGAGGTGCGGTGGGGGGAAATGTCCCGAGTGGGCTGGGAGGGCGAGTGTGTATGTGTATATGTGTGTATGTGTATGTATGTATGTGTGTATGTGTGTATGCATACTAAGGGGGGGGGTGAGGTCTGTCCACTTCCCCGGGTGCTAGGGGCCTCAACACTCGCACTTCAGGAATTCGCAGTAACCGAATAAGGCCCTGTAGGGTTCCGACAGCTCTAGCTAGCCGCGGGATCTCAGGCTCTGCCGGGGGGGCTGCCCGCGATTCAGGACCCCAACGCATCGCGCCACACATGTACTGCAGTACCCGCGGCCACGTGCACCGCCACCGCCACCGCCGCCGCCGCCGTGTAACGTTTTGCCGCTCCGCCGTGTCGCCTCCGCCGCCTCCGCCTCCGCCGCCGTCAACTCCCCGGACGCTGCCGTACATTCGGACCGGTTCGGTTGCACGCTACGGACCCCCCCCTCACCCCGGCCAACACAGCTGTTTGCGAGTGGAGGCGCAGATACGTGCCGTACTGGCGGCGTTGGAGCCTTCCGGACCTGGTGCGGCAGCCGCGGAGGGCGGCGGCGACGTCACGGCGGTCCTTCGGGATGTCCTGCAGCAGCAGCAGCAGCAGCAGCAGCAGCAGCAGCAGCAGCAGCAGCAGCAGCAGCAGCAGCAAGCAGCGGCCGAGGCGGCCGAGGCGGCGGCAGCGGCGGAGGAAAAGGAGGCGGAGGAGGCGCAGCGGCAGCACCCGGCGGCGGCGGAGCATCATCTGCCCCCCCGAGGAGGTGTTCTGCGGGAGGTCCCCCTCGGAGGAGGGGGGGAGCTCTACGGGGCAGCTGACCCCTCCGGCGGCTTCGGGTCGCAGCTCTGATGCTGACTGATTTGCAAGCACCTCAGCTCCTCCGTGTTGCCCTGACCTCCGTAAATACTCATTTCTATCTTCTCTCCTCTCCGTGGCTATCCGTCTATCCCCTCTGGTATCTGCTTCACTCGCCAGTGGTTCGTCTCCCCTGGCCCCCCCTCCCGTCACCACCTGCTGTGTACGGGAGGCTTGGGGTGGTTGGCTGGTAGCTGTGGTGCTGGTGGGAGGGAGGTGGAGGTGGAGGAGGTGGAGGTGGAGGAGGGGGAGGAGGGGGAGGAGGGAGGGGGAGGAGGAGGGGGGGAGAGGGAGGGGGAGGTGGGGGAGGAGGGGGAGGAGGGGGAGGAGGGAGAGGAGGAGGACGTGTGTTTTTTGTCAATCAAATAGGTGGAGATTTGTGTGTCTGTGTGCGTGAGTGTGTGTATGTCGGTATGTGTATCTGGATAGCCCGTAGAGCAGGAAGAGGGGAGAAGGAGCCGGCAGCGAGGTGAGGGCGACCGGGAGGAGGAGGTGGTGAGGTGGTGTACGGAAGGAGCCGAGGGGAGAAGGGGGGTTCGCGGAGTGGAGGGTTTGGGGCCGAGAGGAGGGCCGTGTAGCTGTGGATGATGAAGACGACGATACTGTTGTTTGTTGTAGGGCGCAAGCCGACTGCTGCTGCTGATCGCTCATGGAGGTGGTTGTGGTGCAGTGTGATGATGCTGATGATGTTGGGGTTGTACAGCCCCCTGAACCCCCTCCCCCCAAGAGGGGGTGGACCCCGTGGGACGGGATAGGGTGTGTGTCTGTCACACGGCCATCTGCCGCCAACATATATCCGAAGAATAAGGCGATATAAGCCCCGTGTGGATGAATGTATACGCGCCTCCAATAATCAAGGGCAGATCATTACCTCCCCCTCTTACGGGCTTCACGGCGGCCTGTAATGGTAATGGTAACGGCCGGTAATGGTCATGGTGGTCTCCCGGGCAGATCGTAGGGGCTGTAGTGCCCAAACACGGCACACACAATCTGTCTGTCTGCCTGTCTGTCTGTTTGTTTGTTTGCTTGTTGGCCACCCACCCATCCACCCATCCATCCATCAGACTGGCACCTGGTTGCGACCTTATCAGCTCTTGCACAGGGGCAGGAGGGTGAGGAAGACGGAGGTCGGCTTTTCCTTTCCGCTGCGGCAGACGGACATACGGACATACAGACAGCTGAGTAGACAGCAGCGGAGGACATCCTCCAGCGCCAGCACCCGGCGACCTTCCCCCCACCTCAACACACACGGGGCGGGCACTGACATTTCCTTTCCCCTCCCCGGAACCGAAGAAGGGGTATATGTGTGTATGTAAGTATGTGTGTGTGTGTATCGTCTTCCTGACGGCGGGTGCAGGTCGCAACCGATACGCGGCAGCAGGCGGCCTGTCGCCTTTCCCCCTCCGAAACCAAAAGACTGTATAGTGGCCTCCGAGACCGGCTCCGCACGTGCCGCCGGCGATGGCCTCCCCCACACCGCTGCATGCAACACCGCGGTGCACCACCTTGAGGAGGAGGAGGAGAAAAACAACTGCCAATAAGTTCAAAACGGTCAACGTCAACTGTCAAATATTTACTTCCCCAACTTCCAAATACATACTGGCAGGGCGCACACCTTTTACAGAGGTGGTTCAAAACACACCGCCACCCTCATCAAGATGTGGCCCCGTAACGCCACCCGCCATCCTTACACTATCTGTAGTATCTGTATCTGTAAAACTAGGTACCTATCTTACATGTTATAATATATTTAATATTAAGTTGCTTAAGCATCCCGTAGCACTACTATCCGTAACGTAACGCCATCCGTAACGTAACGCCATCCGTAACGTAACGCCATCCGTAACGCCATTCGTTGCACCCTCAGTCCTCCTCCGCCTCCATCATTACCCTATTCGGCTCGTCCGGAGCTGCCGTACGGACAGTGCAGTACGGACACTGGCTGCGAGGGGCGGCACTATCGCTGACTGGCCCGGGACCCGACGGAACCGTTGCCGCCGCGGCGGCCGCAGCCGTGGCGGCGGAGGTGCCGTCGGCGGTGCCGCCGTTCACGTCACCGCCGGCCTCGCCGTTGCCGCCCGTCCGCCGGAGGAGATGCAGAGGAGCTCGCCGCCGGCGTGACGGCGACGCCAAGCTCGCCGCCAGCACCGCAGCCGCCGCCAGCACCGCCGTCAACCCAGCGGCGGGGTACGACCAGCGGCGCGTAGCTGCCGCGATCCGCTGTGCTCTGTACACTGTGGAGCGGAAGGCCGCTGCCTGGGACGGGGAAATTCGGGAGGCCTCCTCCGCCCAAAATATCGGCAGTATGATGGAAGTGGTTATGGTTGGCTCCAGGGTCATTCTCGCTGAGGTGGTTATCTGGGAGGAGAGCTGCAACCGCTTGGCTGCTCGCATGGTGATGCCTTGGCGGGGGCGGGAAGAGGGGGAGGGAGGGAAGGAGGAACCACGAGCGAGTGAAGGGGGAGGGGGGAGGGGATTCTGGAGGTAAGAAGGGGAGGGGGGGGGAAGTGCGGAGGAGAGTTACAAAACCGGATCGAATGTACGGCAAATGACGTGAAGCAAAGTAAGGACGTGCTGGTGTGCGTATCCATGTATGTGTGTGCTGGTATCTGTCAATGTGGACGGTGTTTGGGTACCCATAACCGCCCCCCACCCCCACCCCCACCCTCGTCACCACAACTACTGCTCTGGGTTGCTCCGTGACCTCGCTTCCCCGCTCTCC